AAGACAAACAAATGAAAATGAGGAAAAACGCAGACTACTCAGTGCAACAGATAAGACTAGAAATTGATTACCTGAACCTTGAGAACAAAAGCTTGAGTTTTATTTTACTTTACACAAAACGAAACAAAACTAAAATATGGATAAATGCAATAACCGCAATTGACAAACTCTCTAAATCGAAATCGAAAAACGACAAAACATATACATAAAATAATGAATACTGAATAACTTTAACCTATCAGCAAAAGTAAATCCGTATAAAGAACACTCAAGAGAATCCTTGCCAGAAGTCTAGAAAGAAAAAACGCTCAAAACTTCCAATATTTTCCTTTTTATTCAGATTCAGGGATAATATAGGAGGAAGAGTAACATACACTAACTATTGAAAAGGTGCTTATCCGATATTATTGATTGTTTTTAGTCTGCACAACAACAGAGTTTCGAAATATACATATATATTTCTTTTTGTTAACCTAATCTAACTCGGCTTTTTAGGAATATCAGTCCGCTTTCTTCCTCCCTCCATCTTTTTTACATGGTTGTGAATGAAAACAAAAAAGCCATATAAAAATTAGACCAATTTCCCCATAGATATCCCTTTTTTTTTTAACGTATCGGTCGCACTCACCACATACATACATACAACACACACACACACACACAGACACACACACGCTCGCTCGGTGGGAATTCGATTCGTGAACCCTATGGCACTCGCATCGTAATTGTAAATCACATATGAACTATATACCAAACATATATATTGTCTATATATTTACAAGACAACAATAACCGAATTAAATTGAATTGTAGTGTTTAAACAAAAGAAAACAAAAAGAAGGTAGTGTATATGCGATGCAAGGACATTTTCAAGGACACTATACCGATGTTTTACATACTTTGCTCATTGGTTAGCGTAGCAGTCGAAGTAAAAATACAAAATATTCAACATAAAGCTGGACGTAGGCCACAGCATCCGTTTGCACGAACGATCTTGCTAAGTATCCTTGCTGAAACGGTCACACTGGACTGCGGCCAGCTTAAAAACCTTAGCTAATTGTGTGTGTATTTACATATTAAAGTTTACAAGCAGATGAAGGCAAGAGAGCTAGGAGGGTTTTGTGTCCGGTAGAATTTTTGAAAGCGTTTTCACACAAATTAAGGCCTAAATATACATGCATATATAAATATATATAAAATTAGAAGAATATAATTAATGTATTTCAAATAATGTTTAAAGCAAGCAAGCAACAATTACAAGTGTCTGTATTTTTTTTTTTGTAACAAAAAAAAGAAACAAAAACCATTGCAATCAGGTACTGAAATCAAAATTTTTTTGTAAATAATAAAAGGGGAAAGTGAAGTTTTCGTCATACAAAAATAAAGGAAATATATATATATATTATGTGTGTGTGTGTGTGGTCAATAGATACAAGCGGAAGCGGAAGCGGAAGTGAGCTTGGGGATACTCGATCCCAATTCGCGTATACTTTGAGCTCTTCAGTGTATTTCCGTAGCATACTTAGCAGGGCGAGTCATACGAAAACCCTTTGGCTATAAAACAAGAAGAGCAACACTCATATTTAAATACGTACACCTATATATATATATATATATATATATATACACTAATCTAGTTTTAATCTCTATGACACTAAGTAGATGCAAAATCGGAAGTTAAACCGACGACGATCGACGGCGAAATGATAAACAATTGTCCAGACGTTCAACGAAACCAAATGCAATATTAAATTATACAACAAACTAAAGTGCATACAAGCGAGTAACATAAAATGAGAAACAAAACAAAACAAAACAAAACAAAATATATATGAAAATATTATATATACATATATATATATATTTTACAATTGATTTATATACATACACATGTATACATTATATAAGTAAATGCCGCATCATTTTCGCGTAATGTCTATTGAATTGTTTGTTAAACATTTTTTGAAACATTTTCTTTACTAAAATAATAATAACAAGAGAAATGTGGATAAACCAAGCTCACAGAAAAGTTACGCCAAAAACCGAACAAACAAACAAGAAATTTATATACATTTATCGAAAGAAGATATATACAACAAAACAAGAATAACTTTTAGTGATTAATATTGTAAGCAAAGACCAAAATGAAATATTGATTTTTGAAAATAATAAGAAAACAAGCAAAAACGTGGCATCAAACCGAAACACAAAACACGGCAGCAAGGAAAATAGCATTATATAACGGCAAGTTTTTGAACTCGAAACTCGATCTACCTTTTTTTTTTCTCTTTGACTTGATTTCGACTTGCAAATGTAAAACATAAATGAATGAAATAACAGCAACGAGTAACGAGAATATTTTTACAAAACAAGGAAATAAGAAACTAAAAAAATGCATAACGCTTCCGACAATAAGCTTTGGCCACACTATTGTAATGAAACTATTTGAACAATTGGGGGAGTTATCGAAAATCGAAGAGGAGGATGGAATTTCTTGCGCTTAAAAGAATAACGGAATTACCACGCCCAAAAAGCCACAGGATGATATGTAATTGCCCTATTTAGTCTATATACCTACTGCAGATATATACACATATATATATACATATATAGAATATACCCATGTACTTATGTAGTAGCCTTGTTCTACTGTATATTTTTAAACGGAGTTGTATTGCAGAATCAGAGTCAAAATCAGAATCAGAGTCAGAGTCAGAATTAGAATCAGAATCAGAATCAGAATCAGAGACAGAGTCAGCAAAGCAAATGTATTTTCATGACACGCATTTGAAGCGAACATATCAAAACCGAATACCGACGAGAAAAACTCACGAAAAGTACTAAAAATTATTTAGAAATTATCCAAAGCATGTTAATCAGTTACTGACTGTTAAGCCCCTAGAACGAACATAACTACAAACATATTTGGAAGCTGACACCTATGCGATATGTGCAACTGTCCTGTCTTGACTCCTATTTCAAACTTAAAAAAAAATAACAAAAAATTAAAAAAAAAGAAGAAAATACTGGTGTTTCATTATTTATTATTGACAAATATTTACAAACAATTGAAGCCACAACAACAGAGTTAAACAGAATAATACCGAATTGATAGGGAGGCGGTTAATAAAATTAAAGGAAAAAAAAACAAGAAAAACTCACGAAACTGAATCTAAATTAAGCATGAATATTTTTTGCTGTGTCTTAGTCCATGTGTCGTAACGAATTTATTGAACTAAATATTATACATGATTAAAATTAAAAAAAAAAAAAATAAAAAAAAAACAACAAAGCCCAACAACAAAATATCTTAACACTTTTTTGTTTTAACTGAAAAAGCAAAGCAAAAAATGCAGGCGAACAAACCAAAATTTCTACAAAATTAAGCACAAATTTTTTCAAACAAAAACAAAACAAAAAAAGAAAAGAAAAAAAAAACACAAAAAGAAAAACAACCAACATACTAAAAAAAATTGCCTTTTACTTGTATTTTGTTTTTTTTTACTATAAAGAGAATCGAATTAATTATTAATAATAATATACAACACGCTGAATACATTAAAAGAACATTTTGCAAAACGAGAAGGAGGGAAAATTCGCCTAAAAAAACATCTGTGACTAATAAAAGGATATAATTAATGGAAGGATACAAGAGAAAAGCCCGAGAGTAAGCTGCTAATGCTAATGAAAATGCAAATGAAAATGGGAAATGATAAACGATAAACTCCAATATTATAATTACGAATGAAATCGAAGTTAAAGTGTGTGTGTAAGGTACAAGAAACAACATTGTTAGAGAAACAACAAAAAATGGCAAAGAATATATACTAGCTGCAGTTTAACTAATTATTGGTAAAGGGTACATACATTCTACATATGTACAGCTGACAACACACTCACACAACACCAACAACACCCCCACACGCAAACATATACATATACAGAAGCTATACCAATACAAGCGAACCTAGTTATATTTGTATGTGCATCATACTTGAGTAGAAAACAATTTATACATTAGAGTTGATGTAAACCAACAAGCTACTTTTACTTATACATTATACCGACATGCAAGTGCGTAATGTATAGTACGATATATACACCAACCAGATATATATATACATATATATATATATAGAAGATATTTGATGAACGTAAGCCCAAACACAGCAATTTACTTATATAACAAAAACAAACAAAGTTTCTTTCAACCAACCTTAAAAAAAAAGCAACTAATACAAACTTTTGGTATGACGAGAGCCGATTATAGCGATTATAAAATCGAAGCAAATTGACAAGTGAAGATGGGTGGCGTCGAGAAAACGCCCATGAAAAACAATATATATACAATTATTTAAAATATTTAACAAAACAAAAAAAAAAAAAAAAACGATTTATATATATATATATATATATATATATATGTATGCATATATATATACATATATACATACCACTAAATAGTTTAAATGTTTATTTATTGTATTTGAACAAGAGGAACGATAATGAAACCAAATTTAAATAAAAGTAATAACTCGAAAAACTAAATCAAGGTGCCTTTTTTTGGAGGGGGACAAAGAAACTAAGTAAGGTATTGAGTGAATAAGAGAACGATTGAATGAACGGAGTAAACAAGCGAATGAACAAGTGGATAAACAAGTGGATGAACAAGAGGGTGAACAAGTGGGTGAGCAGTGGATTAGAAGTGTATGCACAAGTGTGACCACCCACTAGGTATACAATTGGATGAACAAGTGGGGTGAACAAATAGATGAACAAGTGTATGAACAAATAGATGAACAAGTGGATGAATAAGCGGAACAATTGGAACTCGACAATTGGCTCAAAGTGGGCTGAACAAGATTCAATATGAATATAAACAACTGATTAAGGCAAATCATTAACTTAGTTAAAAAGTAAATAAATATGCTACTGAGCAACTTAGTAAACAACCCAGTGAATATATTTTTTATGCATTTATTTCATTACAATATTATATTTCAGTCCAGCATGGTGGCAATGCACTTGTCGATACTGGCATTAATATCGTCGAGTCCTTGAATTGCATTCTCGGTAGCCTGTGTGGTGCAGCTGGTGGCATCGGTGGCAATGGCCGGAACAGTGCGCCGCAATCCGACCAGTTGACGCACTGACTTTTGAGCACCTGCAGCGTACTTGATGCACATAATATACAGCTCGGCTTTGCACTTCTTCAACAGGAACTGATTGCGTGTGTTTTTGCACTTACGGTGCTTCTTAAAAATCTGATATCCGTTCAGGGTCAACTGGAGAATTGAACGCTTGGTATGCACAATAATTTTGACAGAATTGACGGCGGCATTGCGGCCACAGACCACAAAGTTTAAGGTGGCCCGTTCGAGGACACCGGCCACGTGGACCGTCTCCCTGGACACGCACACCTCGCTCTCCACCGCCCGCTTCTCAATGTCGGTGGCCAACTGTTCCAGCTGTCGGTACGGATACAAGAAGATCTTCAGGAGCTGGCGCTCTGTCACCCTTACAATGTACCAGCCCAGGGCCTTGGACTCCTTAATGAAGAATTTCAGCATTGAGTCCACAAAAGCAAAGTCATCGATATCCATGCTACCATCTTCGGGCAATTCAGGAATTTCAGGCATATTCAGGCCAAACTCCTTGTCCAAATCCACATCGTAGTCCAAGTCCAGGTCCGAGTTCAAGTCCAAGTCGAAGTCCAAGTCCGAGTCCAAGTCCAGGTCCAAGCCAAGATCTAAGTCAAGGTTATAGTCGTCCATGTTCAGATCGATGCCCAATTCCTTGGCCATTTCCTCGATGGATGGAAGTGTTTCCGTTTCCGAGACTTCCGGTTGGGGCACAGCCGAACCCTAAAAAAAATAACAGAATATAATACGAGTAAGTACACAAAAAACGGGTGAATAGAAAATCAATTAAATCACTTTTTAAATACAATAGTGTCAAGCTTTGGTTTTTTAATCTTTATTTGTTTGTTTAATCACTTTTTAAAGACCCTTTTTTTCTATTTTTTATGTATTTTACTCACAGTTGCCAAGCCAAGGGCCAACACCACAAAAATCACACTCCTCATGACTGATTTACTTTTGCTGGGATTCCACTTGGGGGACCTGCCTTTTATATGCCCAAACTCTTTGGTTGTCCGCAAATACTGAGATAGCCATATCTATACACCCAGATACCCGGTTAATTAAAATATATTCAAGAGTCGGTTTTATCGGTCCAATATGTGCCTGCCGCTTGGCCGATTGCAATATTTCCCATTATTATTTGGCTTATGCCTTTGTTTTACTTTACTTTACCTTTAATCGCAATTATTTCCGTCGGCCCGTTGCTTTTTCTTCTTTCAATTTCTCCATTTGTTCGAGATTAGGTCGCAATTTGTATTTGGCTGGCGATAGGAAACATCTATTACTGGATTCCCCACTTGAGATCGCTCCTCCCTATCGGAGAATCTTAATAATGCTTTAATTCTGGCAGATAATGTCATTATATTTATGGCTCCACCAACGGGCTAGTGCCCTCGATTAAAAGTCATTGCTTGAGCACAAGCGAAAATTAAATCTATGAAGTCACTTGAGACTTTTTAGTTTTTTTTTTTTTTGTTTTTTAGCTTAAGCGTTTAGAGCCTACTTAAAAATATATGACAAAATAAGGGAGCAAGCCATGGTTATGATAATCGTGAAATCTCTTTATCCTTTTACCATCTGAAAGCTTGCAGATATTTTATCTTCTTATCAGAGTTCAAAGAGTTCTTTTATTGGGAATCCCCTTTTCAGACTTGCTGGAATATTTGACACACTGGCTTCCTAAGCCCTTAAAAAACTGAAATTAATAGGTGTTCAAAAACATTAAAGCTCGCAGGCATTGATGTTTTTCGATAAATGTCGATATATTTCGATATATTTCGATAGTATCTTCTAAAGTAGCTATAGACTTCCTCAAAACTTCCTTTTCTTTTATTGTTAAAGAACTTTTATTTGATTTTGTGAAACGTTTCGGCTTTTGAGTTAATGACCTTTGCTTCACCTGCACATTTATCCCGCCACAGCGCTTTGTTTATTTTTTATGATATGATTCGCATGATCGGTGTGATTGTGCGACTTAAATAATCTTAATCTAAATCCAAACAGGTGAACTCTATGAATAGCGAGGCAAATGTAAAGTTCACTAATCAATCCAGGCAGCGAATGATTGATTTACAATGCTGGCCATAAATTTATGGCCGTCAATCCAGATTAATTTGTGGCCGTCGTCTGGCTTACCGGGGGCATAAATGGCGATGTTCGGATGGTCCGGGGCAGCAGTAGCCTTCCGAGAATTCCTAAGAGCAACAGCAGTAATCATGAAGTGCACCGTTTTCGTTATCCTGACCCTTTTCGTGGCCAGTGGCTGGGCCCAGCCATTGGATGTGCCCGCCCAGCTGGACGCCCAGGTGCGCAGCGTGGTGGACGAGATGACCGAGCTGGGCAAGTCCACCGGCGAGGCTCTGGTTCATCAGTACGAGGAGATTGTCCTGGAGCCCCAGCATGAGCTGGAGGATGCCCTCGAGGCGGTGGAGGCTCGCCGCCAGGAGAGTCCCGAGTGCGTGGCCGCCGAGGATGAAGAAATCAACCGTATTGTGGATGCCGCTCACGAGGAACTCCACTCCTGCGGCGTGGTGGCTGCCCATACCTCGGCCGAGATCGCCTCCGATGTCAATGCGGCCACCCAGCAGTTGGTTTTCGGCGGCTACAGCCTTGGTAAAACCTACAACAAGTGCCAGAACTACAAGAACTCCGTGCTGAAGCAGTCTTGCATGGCCAAGTTCTATATTCAGGGCACGGTCTACCTGGTCAATGCCCGCTCCTCGATCAAGACCATCCGCAAGTCCACCAACGAGCGCATCCCGGCCGTTTTCGTCGACAGCAATGTGTGCACCCATGGAGCCTCCGCACAGGCGGTGTCCAGCCTCCAGGAGGTCAACAGTCACATCGATGCCTGTGTCTCCCGACGTCGCTAAATCCTTTCGGCTAGCCGTCTGATTTTTTCTGCAAATAAAAACTGCCAAAAGCTAAGAATTATTTAAAAATAATTAGGGGGGAAAAACAGAAATTGAAATTTTTCTACTGTTTTTTTAAATATTTTTATTTACCCAAAGTCGAGTGCCACCTCGGGGTCTTTAACATTTCCCGGGTTGGTCACGCTTGCCAAACCAGTTTGGAGAGGAGAACTAGTTCCCCCGGACAGGTAAATAGCACAAAATGTTTGGGCTATTAGGGCATCTGTTCAAGTTGCAGTTCGTCTTCGTGGTGGCCGCCGTTTTCGCCGGCATTTACCACGTCGAGATTAGGCAATTCCTGCGCCAATACTCGGACTTTTATTTGAACAAAGCCGGCCAGGAGGATGCCATTCCGGTAAAGTACCAAGCCGGGCTCTTTACACCGGCTGAACTCTCACAGTTTGATGGCGAGGAAGGTCGTCCGATTTACCTGGCCCTGCTGGGATCGGTCTTCGATGTCTCCCGGGGCATCAAGCACTATGGAGCCGGCTGCAGCTACAACTTCTTTGTCGGTCGGGATGCCTCCGTGTCGTTTATTTCCGGTGAATTCGAGAATTACAACCCGGAAACGGCGGACGATGTGCTCACCCTGAAGCCGGATGACCTGTTAGGCCTGGCCAACTGGCGTGACTTTTACGAGAAGGATTACGTCTACAAGGGCAAGCTCATAGGTCGTTTTTACGATGACCAAGGACAACCAACCACCTATTACCACAAGTACCTGGAGCTGCTGCAGCTGGCCCAGGTAGCCAAGAAGCAGGTGGAGGAGCTGCGCTCCCGCTACCCGGGCTGCAACATTGAGTGGAGCGAGGCCACGGGTACCCGGGTGTGGTGCACCAATTCCAGCGGTGACGGCAAGGAGCGCTCCTGGGCAGGACATCCGCGAAAACTGTATAGCCGCGGCAACAAGAGCTTCCAGTGCGCCTGTGTGCCGGAGTCGGAGCTGGATGAGATCGATGCGAGCGGCAAGGCAGCCATTGGGGATGCCATGCTCAAGCCCTACGACAATTGTGAGCCGCGGGCAAAGGAGTGCTTCTACAGGGTATGAGCGAAAGGGAGCTGCATATGTGTAAATACCTGTACTTAACTCGTAATAAAGCTAGATTTCTTTGAGTGTATTCCGCTGGTTCCGGCTATGTCAACCTTAACAGCTCTGTGAGTTAACAGTGGGCTGGCTGGCGAGTGCTGTTAGGCGCATTTATTATTTATTTTTGTTTACCTCAGCCTTGGCTCTCTAGTCCTGGTTATTTATTGAGGCAAATCCTTTGGCTGCCAAATGGAGAAGCCACCACCCCCTGAGGACAGCGGCCTGCTCTCCGCCACCGTGGTGGCTGGTCTCAAAAGTCTGGGCAACATTATTACGCCCGCTTTGACCAAGCTGCTCATAGCAAATGCCTTGAAACTAACCCTTCATCCGGATGCAAGTGAGTGGGGATTACCTGATAAGTGGGGATTCTACCTGATGATAACCTAATGCCCTTCTGTAGCCATTGCCCCCGTTCCAGAGCTCTATGCCAGCAATGCGGCCTGCGCCAAGCAAAGTGAATATGCTGTTGTCACCCTGCTCTCCCTGGCCACCAAGCATGGTTGGGATGGCTTCATGCTCCGCCAGCAGCTGGATCATCTGTCCATTAACAGCGCCGCCATCGAGGAGCTGACCCGCGTGTATGAGGATAACCGCAAGGATCTGGTGCTGCGGCAACTGCAGCTGGGCCACAATTTTCCACACATCACGGATATCCAATGGCGCATCGCCTGCGATGTCAAGTCCTCCACTTCCGATTGCAGCACTGGCGTGGCCAGCTTCTACATTAATCTGGGCCACTTCCGGCCGAGCAGCGGCGAGCGAGTCACCATTGTGGAGTTCGTGTGCAATGCCGAGGAGCTGCAGTCGCTGATCAATCGCCTGAAGGAGATAGAGAGGCACTGCAGCCAGATGGCCGTGGCTTAGGAGGGAGCATGACATTCTTAATGTTTATATTTTGCAGCGATATATATAGATATATATATATATGTATGTATAACATTAGCTATCAGGTTTATGTACAGAATCAGGTCGGGGGTGGGGTGGGGGTAACAGAACAATTTGATGAACAGTTAACACAGTTATCATCACTAAAAAGCATCGTCATCCTTGGGCGTCACTTCGGCAGATTGCGGCGAGAATCGTCTTCCTCGGTCTCCTGCCACACCAGCAGCTCCATCAGCTCCTTGTAGTCACTGGGCGCAGTGCAATATATAGTGCCCGAGAAGCGGGTGCGATCGTTCTTCTCGGCGGAAATGATGATGCAGTGGTTCTGCAGCGACAGCGACATGTTCAGGCCACGGAACCGATGGTCCTGCTTGTACAAGTTGGGCCCATCCTTGGGCATAATATAGGGTCTGCCGCTGAACGGGTTGAGGAAGTCTGCCCAATAGCCAAGCGACAACAGGCGATAGCTAATGTCCCGAGCAGCCAGCACAAACTGGGGGCAAAAGATGGTATAGTTACTTCAAATAAGATATGCTTTGCCCACTCACCTTGGCTGCACCCATCTCTATGTCCCCCTCATTGCTCAGAGTGAGCATGGTAATGGGCGAATTTCGCTGTGACCCAATCCGCATGGGGAACAGCTCCGCGAGCGACTCGCGCAACAGCACCGGGCACTGGCAGCAGGTGAACTCAAGACGCGACCCATCCGCGTTCTCCTCCTTCATGAAGTTAACCAACTGGTTGAGCGGTGCCATCAGGCTAACAGTGGTGGTGTCGCCCTGCCAGGCTGGCCCAGTGGCATGGGGCAGGTAGAATCGGTTGTTCTTCGAGGCGGTTAGCTCCCAGTTGGGCTCGCTCTCCAGATTGATTAGCTCGTCGTCGTCGTAATCGTCGACGCGTCGTCGCGACTTGGACACTGTCTTGAATGGCTGCTCAGCGTCCCAGGGCGGTCCGTTGCGCTTGGCGTAACTGGCCCGCTGGGCGGCGGCCATCGGGAGCGCCGAGGTCAGGTCGGGCAGCAGGAATCCGCGCAGGGCAGCCATGGGCATCCAACTGCCAGGGCCGAAGGTGCCCAGGCAGCGAGTGAGGGATCGTGACATTATTATATCATCGGCTTCTTCTGCAAATGCAAATGCGTAAAATCCGTTGGCAGTCTTTGCCCTTCTCCTCCTCACCCCAAGGCACTCCGAGGCCCACTCACCTTCGTCTAGATTCTGGAAGAGCTGATGCTCAGGGGGTTCGGTTCGGCTGGTGCTGCAGGGTATTCCGTGGAGCTATAGAATTTTACTAGCAATTTTGTCTAGACTTGGAGCCACACGAATATTCGAAAACAGAATGCTGATTCCAAACGAACGGCTACTGATTATTTCTACGCAGTGCTAGGGCAGTGCGACCATATCAGTGGGATGCTAGGGCAGTGTGACCATGTCAGTGGGTTGACAGCAGCTGAAATATTTGTTATCGATAACAATCGAAGGAAGTGAGATAACAGGAAGTGGGAGTCCTGTCAGGAATTAACACTTGAATAATTAAAATTAAGGTTTAAATTTAAATTTAAAATTTAAATTAAATAAATATATTTTTAATATAAATCTAAACACTTTAGAAAAATTACAAGATTTTAGGTGCTGTAATTGAAAAACTTCAGATAATAATATAACCGGAAATTGAAAATATTAAAATACAATTTTCATTTCTTAATGTTTATAATATTAAAACATTAATTCCATTAATTCCTTCCAGTTGATAGAAAACTTTCAGGACAAACATACCTGTAGATATAACATATACATAGATATATCCCCAAAAAAGGTTGGTAAATACCTTTACTTTTACTTGCTTTTTGAAATATTTATTACGTGTGCTTGGATTATACAGATTGGATTTAATATCAATTACATAAGTATATAAACTAGGAACATCTACTGGCACTGGCTGAGGGCGTGGGTGTAGTAGGTCTTCTCCTCCAGACCCCGCTTGATCACGTGTGGAATCTTCTTCGGCACCATCCTGGATAAAAAATAAACAAATTATATCAGTAAATATTGAAATGTGAAGCTCCTTTCGATGAATAACCCACGTGATGCAGTCGATAATGGGACAGACAGAGACGCAGAGTGTGCAGCCCGTGCAATCGTCGTTCACGTGCGGAATGTGCGTGTCCTTGTCGAACTCGATGGCCTGGTATCCGGAATCGGCGCAGGTCATATAGCACTTGCCACAGTTGATGCACATGTCCTGGAAAAATATACAAAACAAAAAACCCATGAATTGAAAAATTAAATAGAAAAAGAAATGTCCACACTCACATCGTCGATCAGTGCCACCTTCTGCTGCTTGTTGTCCAGCTTGTTGTACGGCCCGATTCTCTCCAGAGCCGCGCCCACCAAATCCTTGATCCTAGGAGCTGCCCTTGGTGAGTTGCCATTTTCGATTGCCGTTGGATTTTGTGCCGCCTGTTCGGCATCCCACAGGGCGCCCTTCTTGTTGCGCAGATCCGCCATCTTGATGTCCCGCTGCTGCTGATAGGGACCGAAGAAGCCCAGGGTGACGTTGCCCTCGCCGGTTAGACGCACCACCGGCTTGCCCTTCTGGTGGACCGGAGTGGGTGGCGACTGGCCATCCCAGAAGGCGCCGTTCACTGGCGGCGGATTGGCCTTTAGGTAGAGCAGAGCCTTCAGTGCCGTGCAATAGTCCTCGATGACAGTGAAGTCCTGGTTCTGGACAGAGGAGCAGATCTGCAGCACCGTGGCACCGGCCTGGATGAACTGTAGCGCCACCTCCCCAGAGTCAATGCCGCCGATGCCGAGGATGGGGAATCCTGGAACGCGTCTAGCGATGTCCGAGATGGCCTTCAGGGCCATGGGGCGGGTGGCATTGCCAGAGACACCGCCATAGGTGGTCCGCTGCTCCTTACCAATCGCTGGCCAGGCGGTGGCGTCCGCCTTGAGACCCATCAGCCCCTGGACCGTGTTGATGGCCGATCCACCGTCGGCTCCTCCGCGCTGGGCAGCCGCCGCAATGGAGGCGATGTCCGTAATGTTGGGCGTCAGTTTGATGAAGAAGGGCAACTTGACGGCCTTCCTCACCCAGCGAGAGATTTGCTCCACCAGCTCGGGATCCTGGCCGCAGGCCAGACCCATACCGCGCTCGCCCATGCCGTGCGGGCAGGAGAGATTGAGCTCCAGGGCATCGGCACCCGACTGCTCCGCCTTGATGGCTAGCTCCGTCCAGTCGTCCTCGTTGAAGCTGCACATGATGCTGGCAATCACGATCTTCTCGGGAAAGTCGCGCTTCAGTTCCCTAATGGACCTTAGCCAGTATTCGGCGCGCTTCTCCGAGATGAGCTCGATGTTCAGGAAGCAGCCCTGCTGGGGTCCGTACTTGTAGCCGGAGGTGGTGCCGCGCACGATGCGGGGCGAGACATTGGTTACCAGATCCTTGTCCAGGCCGAACGTCTTGGTGACCACATAGCCCCAGCCCTGCTCGAAGGCTCGCCGAATCATGGCCGTGCTGGTGGTGGGCGGGGCCGAGGCCAAGCCAAAGGGATTCTCGAACTTGATGCCGCACATCTCCACGGATATGTCGACGGCATCGATGTCCGTGTAGAACAGCGGCAGGGCAGCCGGTGTATCCAGGGGAAGTCCCTGCAGCTGACAGTGAATGCTCCACGCGGCCACTTTGCCATCGTTGACCGACTCCACCGTGGTATTGGCCACGCCAGCCAGATCACCGCCGAGGAACACCTGACTCAGGCTGCTCTGCATGGTGATCCTGTCGACAATGGGAAGCTCACCGCGGAACTGCAGAGGAGCCAGAGCAGCCTTAACATCCGCATCCTCCAGGCCCGAGCCAAAGGCCGAGATAACAAAGTTGGCCTTCAGCCGCTGTGTCTGCTCCTCATCCTCCACCCATTCGTCTTTGTCGTTCTGCTCCGTGCGGCAGAACTCCATGGCAGTGATAAGGCCATCCTTGACGATCACCTTTCGGGGACTCAGGTAGGGCAGCAGCTCGCACCGTTCGTCCCGGGCCAACTCCACCTCCTCGGGCACCGCCCGGATGCCCGAAGATCCCTTCCGGAACACCACAAACACTCGCCGGGCACCGCATCTCAGCGCCGAGGTGGCACAATCGAAGGCCGTGTCTCCGGCTCCCAGGACGATGACATTGCCGTGGAGCTTGGGCAATCCAGCGGAAGCCTTGCAGGCGCACAGACCCGGCTTGGAGCCATCGGAAACCAGGGGCAGGAAGTTCTTGGACGTATAGAAGCCGTTGCTGGGATCTAGGCCAGCGAAGATCGGGTTCAGCTTGGGTTCCGGCAGGCCAATGCCCACGAAGATGGCATCGTGACCGGAGGAGAGCAGACCCTGAAAACAAGATTTATTTACTTAAATAAATGTTCAGTTTGTTGTATATGATTTTATTACCTGAATGGTCAGGTCCTTGGTGCCCAGGGAGCGCCCGGTTTCGATGCGTACGCCCAGATTCTTGACCAGATCGATCTCAAAGTTGACCGCATCTATGGGCAGGCGGTATTGCGGAATCTCGGCGGCACTCAGTCCGCCCAGATAGCTCCTACGCTCATAAATGGTCACATCCCGATAGCCCAGACGCCCCAGGAAGGTGGCGCAGGACAAGGAGGCCGGACCACCGCCCAGCAGGGCGATCTTTCCGGCCAATGGGTTGGCCTCCGCATGCGGAGTACGGCGCTGGCTTACGCCCATCTGCTTGAACACTTCGGTGGCGAATTGCTGCAGGCCGCCAATGTTGATGGGACCCGCCTCCGAGGCCTGAAGATTGCAGCCGCCCACACAGAGGTCGCTGGTGGGGCACACCATGCCGCAGGTGAGGCCCAAGGGATTATCCGAGAAGATCGCCTTGGCGGCTCCATAGAAATTCTTGTTCGCGATGCTCGTGATGAAGCTCTTGATGTCGAGCTGAGTGGGACAGGACTTCTGGCATGGGGCATCCGCGCACTTCAGGCACCTGGCCGCCTCCTCCAGAGCTCCGCGCTCCGACAGCGTCGTGTGCTTAATGTCCGAGAAGTCGTTCTTCAGCGTGGTGCAGGGCGGTGCCGCATGGTCGGCATTTCGCTTCCAGTGCTTCTTGTTCTCCTTCGTCTGCTTGGTGGGCACCACCGAGCACTGGGTCTTCACGCGCGGATTCAGCGACAGCAGGTCCTGTGAATCAAGTGAATCAAGTGTCCAATAAATCATTACTTTCACTATCGAAGACCGGAGGACTACCTCGGAATCTTATCAGAGTCCGACACTCAGGCAATATCAATTATGAATTAGGAAATCTACAGACGACTATGTGCTCGACTATGAGATACCCGGTAGCCAATTAAATCTATATATATTTTTTGGGCGGAGTTTGACCTACCTCAATATCCGGAGAGTCTTTGCTCAGCAGTTGCGGTGGACTCATCTTGGTTTCTCCTGGAAAAAAAGTAGGTGGATGGATAATCTTGGATTAGGGCCACGTGGAGATTCCCAGTTGCTCAACATCGTCTCTAATCTCGGGTCTGCGACTCTTATCAGGGCCCCCACTCGAGTCCTGAGCCAGCACTGTATCTATGTGCATATATAGCACCATAGTTCTTATCATTTATAAGGGCGCTTATCATTTATCAGTCAAGGTTGCCGCGGACAGGGGAGATTATGGTTTTAATGTGGCACCACCCCGTTTTTTTTATTTGTTTCTTTTTTTTTTTATAGTTTATTTTCTTATAAGTTTGGGTAGTTTTGGCAAAACAAAAACACCAAAAATCGGGCCACCCAGCGGAGATTACGGATGGGTGAAGGAAGGTCGCCGACTTGGGGGGTATGTTTTGGTTTTCTTTTTTATTGCTAAATAGTGTATTGTTATTGCTTATGATTCCCAACTGGTTCTAGCTATAATATACATATATTCAGGCGTTCTACTTTGATTATATAGAAAAGCTAGCCAGGGGGGTTATTGATGAAAAAGATTGTAGTTTATATATATTTGCATTTTTTTAATGGAATTTTTAAAGCAATAATAAAATGTAAATGTTGAAATAACAAAACTAGTTTTAGTGTTTTTCCAAATTTATTTAAGTTAGCAGGAAATGTCCCTATATTTGGAAATTTAACTTACAAAAAAAGTAATAACTCAAAGGCACTAGGCAACAAAATAAGTGTTATTTTTGTTATATTTCAAATACATTTCTCTTTACAGTCTATTTACTGTAACAGTGGGTAGTTTTAACCAACTAAAATTTGTACCATTCAAGGGAATATTTTATTGTATTAAAGTGCTTGTTGAAAAAGAGCAACCTACAATTATTTAATTTAAAATAATTAAATTCAATGCTGGCCTAATGCCTAACGGTACATAAGACTACACCATTTACATAGGTGCTGTTAACTAGTAT